TGGACGTAGTACCAAATTGCCCTCTAAATCCATGTTTCTATACCTATATAGATCAGCGCAACTCTCAGGCCTCCCCAGAGAAGTTTCTCTGTGCAGTGGATGGTGGTTAATTCGAGAAACTCACAACTGGTCAAAGTGCAGACGATAAGTGTCTTTGGAATGCTCAGAAATAAGTGGGACCTCGATATTGCACCCCGCTTCTCAAGGTTCAGAGACCATCCAAGAACAGGGGACAGGAAGATTGTAAGAGCCTGAGGTCAGGGACGACCAGTTCACAACAGTGTCTTCTGGACATGGCAGGACTGTGACATTCATGAACTTAGAGCAGCTGTGGTTGTCTAGCCAAGACTTGCCAAAGATCAAGCCCGTCAGCATGGTAGCATGGAGGAGAGGGGGATCCTGAGTCCCCACCCTTAGTTGAGGAATTACTGACAGCCGATGGCTCCTGGGGATGCAGAGTTGGTTTTCTTTAACAGTGTGTCCTCTGGTGGGTCAACTAAACTCCAGTGAATGGCCCACACCCATGACTATATGGGCAGTGCAAATTGGACTCGTTGGGTTATAAAAAGGGTTATAAAACCACAAAGTTTTGGGGTATGGGGTGCAGAGTATACTTGGGAGGAGTTAGAAGGAGGAATGGGTATGAATATGATCAAAATATGTTGTATGCATAGCTGTGGTTCTCAAGAAGCTAGTAAAAACATTATGCTAAAAATTATTAATCCATGTCTTGATGAAGCCACACACTGGTGAAGTCAGAAGGTCCTGATCCAGTCACCCCCTAACGCCTGTCAATTGCAGCCAGACCTTTAAACACTTGAGCCTTCGGGGGCTATTTCTTTTCAGATTCCAACTATAGCATTGTCTGCAGGTATTTTTCGGTTTTTCAGTTAGGAATCTTTGTTCTTTCAAGAGAGATAATAAAGATGCCCCGTGATGATCTGTTTTAGGAGGGATAGACTTTCCAAGTGGAGTCATAGCTGGGGAGTGTTTTGATCAACTCCAGCAGTGACTTTTGCTAGCATAGCTAGGAAAAGCCCATGCAACACCAAGTCTCCAGCAGTAGCAGCACCAACTAGTCTCTGATGAAGCCTCAAAGCATCCCTTGAGATTCGAATGCAGTGGGATGAGGTGAGCTACCGTCTTTATAGTAAGCTGTGATGTATTGGTGCAGAGCGTAAGAGCTCCAGGTCAAGATTCCCGTGTTGCAAAAATAAAAGAATCAAAGAAGAGCAACAGGCAGAACTCCAAGAAGAGGAAAGTCATGATGCAAAGCAGGCCCTTTTCCTGGTCCCTCCTCAGTGTCCTTTCCATCACCTGCCATGCAAGAACTCACTACAGCAGTGTCACTCAGTGTGAAGATCCCAAGGTACTGGTGTGAAAGTAGTAGATGTAGACTCCTGGGCCCTTTGAGCTGGAACCTTTGTGAGGTCAGAACCGAGAAGCTACCTTTGACATGCTATCTAAATGCTTACTGCTCAGTTACCACAGTCTGTGGGTTTCTGTGGGAACCTATATGCAGGGAAGGAGACCCTTGTTATTTTTTTTAATTTTATGATTTGTGTATGGCTGCTTTGCCTGCATGTATGTCTGTGCACCACATGTGTGCCTGGTGTCCATGGAGACCAAAAGAGAGCACTGAATGCCCTGGACCTGGAGTCACAGACAGTTGTGAGCTACCACATGGTGCTGGGAATCAAATGGGTCCTCACAAACAGCCAGGGCTCTTCACCACTGAGATAACTCTCCAACCCCAACCTTATTAAACCCTAGCACCAGGCAGGTTTTCCAACATTCATTGTAAGTTGGACAGATAACTGAACCCAAAGTATGGGGTTTCTTCCAAGGGCCTGAGGGGGATGACTTAGTTGGTAAAGTGCTGTGTGAGCATGAGAGCCTGAGCATCCAGCACTCAGGTTAAAAAATGTAATACCACCTGTAATGCCAGCGCTAGAGCTGCATAGACAGGAAGATCCTTGGGGTACACTGACCAGCCAGTCAAGCTGAATCAGTAGGGTTAGTATAAGACCTTGTCTAAAAGACTAAGGTGAACAGAGAGTGAGGAAGAACTTGATATTGACCTCTGGCCTCCAAATGTGTGTGTGTGTGTGTGTGTGTGTGTGTGTGTGTGTGTGTGTGTGTGTGTGTAATTTCTTTAGGTCTTGGTAAAGGTAAATTCATGACTCTGATCCTACATTTCTTCCTGGTCCAACAACTAAGGGATAACCTGTGATCTGGCAGGGAGTTGTGTATTGTGATTTGTCAGTGTAGATATTTCTGTCTTCACAGGTCCAACCTTAGCACCAGGCTGACTTACATGGGAGTGTCCTTGGGAGGGTGCTATCCCAGGCAGTTTGGCTTGATTTGAGTGTAAAGGTCCCTGTTTCCACATGTCCCACCGGAGACCTGGAGGTGACCTGATGGCATTCTTAGTCAGGTGCCAGCACCTTAGAGGGCAAATGCCATAGGCTATGCAACCACCTGCCGAGTCACTCCTAGAGACACCCTTGCACGGTTGTCTCCGTGGTACTTCAGTTCTGAGAAATCCTGAATGAGCTTGGGACTGAATGAACCAGCACAAGGCAAGCCACAGACATGAGAGTTGTGTGTGGGGGGTGGGGTGAGGTGAGGGTGTTGGGGTGGGGTGAGGGGGGTGGGTGGGTGGGTCTGATAGGTAAGAGGCTGCTTGCTGCCCATTTTCCCAATTACTGGCTGAGTTTGCTAACATCATTGAATGCCCGCTGATGGCAGCCTTAGCCCCGTTACTTTCATTAATAGAAAAGGAGTAGGGCTTACAGAGTACTCGCCCAAGGCCAAGTACATTTGTTAATGCAAGTGATATAGTTCCTGAGTTACTGTAAATATTCCCACCATCACATTGAGAAATCTGAATAGTGCTTTCATTTAAAAAAAAACTCATTTATTCATGCTTCTGTTCAGCTAATTCTGTGAATCAAATCATTTAACTCCTTGCAGGTTTGTGAATCTTTGGGTGATCATCCTGTCTTTGCTTATTTAATTTTTCACTTCATTCTCCTGGGGGGGCAGGGGAGGCGGGAAATATCAGCTCTCAGCTTGAACTCTGGTATGTTGGCTCTATTTCTTTGGGCTCTGAGGAAGAAGGACGTTGGTCCCTGCTTTAGGTGGGCAAGGCTGTACTGGTAAGTGAGATGGAATGTGGGCACAGAAGCTGTTGATGAGTGGGCCATTGCTTCCTTCCCTAAGCCCAGATAATTGGGCTGTCACAGTCTGCGTTTTATTGGTTCAGATTCAGGTTGGGACTGGAGTCTTCCTTCTCAGTTCCTTCAGTTGCTCCGTGGAGAAAAGAACAAGTAGAAAATTCACTGAGGAGTTTTTAGGAAGGCTGCAAGGAGAAGGCAGTCTTCAGCCCCCGTGGTTTCAGGGAACCCCAAGAAGGAGAAGGCCACTTAAACACTTCAAACCAGAAAGGACATAGAAAGCTCTCCCACTTAGTTCGTCAAAAACCGGCTCAGAAATGTGACAATTCCGGCAAAGCATTATGATTCCTAGCCAGTCTGGTCATGATCCCCTGGCAGACTGCACAGTCACGGCTGTGAGACACTGGGATGAGAGATCCTATATAAATGTCAGATGTTGCATAAATGTCAGGAACCATTATCGTTTGTTAATGGGGGCTAAACTGTTCCTAAGCGAAGATTCAACTCCCAGACAGGAAGTTCTTGTTGAAGTTCTAACTACCAGTCACCCAGCAGAAGAGAATGAACATCCCTGGTTCTACCAAAGAACCCAGGTGGGATCTGGAGTTGAATGTGGACCAGGGTGGGTCCCTGCTTACCAGCTGAGCTCCTAGCCTTCTGGAGTCTGCCTTGCTCAGCTGTAAAATAGGGATAATTACAACACCAACTCACTTCTTGCTGTGCCAAGGTCTTATGAGGAAGAAGGGCATGAACATGGCGTGGCTTCAAGTGCTTAGCAAAATGTGAACTGTTGCAGGATGACAATGGTCATGTTGAACAGGCTTTCAATGCTCCCCAAAGGGAGAGCTTCCAAAGGGAAACCTAGCCCTTGGCGGGGAAGAGGAAGGTGATAGTGGTGGCGACTGGCCTACGCTGAAAACAGCAGTCTTCCTTTCCTGCTGCAGACCTGGCCCTAGATTCAGTATTCTAGCCCTGACTCGGCTGCTTCCCAGACGGTGAGCTTGGGCCAGTAACCAAGGCTCTGGAAGCAATGGCCAGGGCCCTTCCGGCGCTGACGCGGAGTCTAAATCCGGCTCATCACTTGGCTTTTGGCTGAGATTCACCTTTCGCCTTCAGTAGCGACTGTCTCAGAGCTCCGCGCACACGCACCATGAGGGACTAGGGAAGGTTGGGGGTTGTGTGTAGCCCGAGTGAGTGTGCCCAAGAAAGAAGTTATGCCCTTGGGAGTGATGCAGAGAGGGGCGGCGAAGTGTAGATACAATGCTGAGAAGCCAGCATGCAGAGCACTGCAATGAGGTCACAGTTGTCGCAGGCAAAGGAGCTGGGTATCTCCTGGGGATGGTGGGGATCGTCCTTCATTTATAAGTGCAAAAGTCTCTCCCCTTCCTTCAGCATCCAATTGTCACCTCTCCTGCTCTCACCCCAAATCTTACTCCTTTCCGACCCTACAGGCACTCCTTGCTGGAGAGCTCGTGTCCGTGTCTCCTGCGTGGTCCTGTCTGAAACCATCAGGATTGTTTCCAAGCTGAGTCACACTGCTAATGTCGGGGAGCCGTGTTACTGGGCGCTGGGCTGTGCAAGCTGTTGCTTGCGCGGTCGCGGGCGCCGCCGCCGCCGCGGCCGCGTGCACCCAGGTCCGCTCGAGGGGCGGGGTCTGGGCGGGGCGGGGACGGGAGCCGCCCCCTCGGCGTGCGGGCCCCGCCCCTCTCTCCCTCCTTCCCCAGCGGACCGCAATGATTTAGAAGTTCAGGAATCCCACGTGACGTCACCGGGGGGGTGATGTAATGCACTCTAAATAGAATGTATTGTAATCTTTGCTCAGTCCAACGTGGTCCCTTCACCCGGGCTCGGCTCTTGCCTTCTCCACACTTGTTTGGTAAGTTCCTAAAAATACGGCGCGGCCACTTCTGGGGCTTTTGCATTTAGCCGCTTTCGCTGCACTTGCCGCGCGAGCCGACTCGGGAGCGTCCTTGTTTGCAGGGGTTGGTTCTCCACTGCAGCCGCGAGGTTACTTGGTCCAATGGGCAGGTCACAGGGCAAGGAGTAGGGAGGATGCGATGCATTTTTTTTTCCCCTTGATTTGTGTTTGTAAACACTTTGGCGGATCAGAGGGAAGTCCGGCCCCAATTGCTGGCGGACTGTGGAGTTGTGCTGTGTCCTGTAGCCACCCAGAGACCCCACGCCGTGTCCGTCCGGGAGCGCGTCTCGGTGGTTGCTGCGCCGTGCGACTGGAGGGATGCTAGTGGAGCCAGCGCCGTGTCCGACCCAGTGTGCGTGCGTGTATGGGAGCGCGCGTGAGTTTCCCTGACACGGGGAACAGTTATGAATCGGGGGTGTATGTTTGCCTCCAGAGCCCTGGCAAGGTGCGGAACCCTCCAGAAGTGTGGTCAAGCGGCGGCGGCGGCGGCGGCGGCAGCAGCAGCAGCAGCAGTGGCGGCAGCAGCAACAGAGACTACGAACCAAGAGCCTCCCCCGCGTCCCCAGTTTCTCAGTGATCAGCGGAACCCCGGAGAAAGTTTGCAAACTTCCAACTGGTGCGGCAAAGACGCCGGGTCACCTAGGGGCGGCCAGGCGAGTGAGCAGGGGGCTCGCTCCCCCGCCGGGTGCCGCTGCCACCTCTGAGACCAGCTGCGGGCTGTAGCTGGTGGGCGCGCGCCCGGGGAGGGGCGGTTGCCCTTGAAGGGCACTTGACTTTCGCTCCAGGCGCTCCAGCTCGAGAGTGCTCCAGGCCCCCTGGCCTTCACGCCTGCAGCCGCCTCCCGCCTCCGACCCTTCCAGCTGGCACTGTTACCTCTTCCGGGCTGCCGCCCCAAATGACAGCTGGGGCCCGAGCCGCGCTGTGCACAGGCGGTTCTCAGCACCCTGCGATGGAGCCTGCCTTGGAGCCCGATTCTCCACCGAACCGCTTCAACTTTTCACAAAGTTCTTAGAGGGTTGAGACAAGAAAGAACCGAGAGAGTCTTCTCCTACTCCCCAACTCCACTACTTTAAAGGAACTATATCACCTATATCCCGCTTTCTTTTTTTGGGGGGGGGAGTGTCAGAGATTTATTTCCAGGAGGTGTCTAGTAGAAAAAGCTTCCACTTTCCCTGAACGAGTGTCGCCCCCACTTGATGCTGGTTCAAAGCTGGGAACTGGAGTGGGCTGCTTGTACATTTCGTTGTCAGAGTCTGCAAAGCTTGTTTGGTTTTTTTATTTTTCCCTCTCCCTGACATGTGTCAAAGAATAAAGGCTGGCTACAGGTCCATTACGTCATTCTGCAGGCCAGTAAGTGTTTGATTAAGGGCTTCAGATACTCAAGGGTTCAGGGGCTCAGAATGCTGACAAAGCAACTCTGCTTTCGTCCCCCCACCCCCACTCCTGCTCAATTGAGGGTTCCCTGGACACCATTATTGCCCTCTCTCCCCCGACCCCTCCTCCTCCATCTCTCCTCCGCCCACCTCGTTATCACTGGCCTGCCCCCGCCTTTTACAGTTTCCCTCAGGGGGAATGTTGTCCCAGGAGTGAGCTGAAGAGCTTCTGGTGTCTGAGTGCAGTACCTGATGAGCGCTCAATCTGCCCTTTTCTATTATTTAAGAAAGGCACTGCCCAGGCCCCCTTTTCCCGGGCGAGAATGCTCAGCCTAGATAGAAAAACCCCTGGAAAGGTTTAGAGACCTTATATGTTAATACCGTGTCCCTGAGGCGACTTAGGAAAGCAACACACCCACCGCTAAGAGCCCAGAGTCCCGGGAACCGCGCAGCCCTAGGGGAAAGATGAACGAGCTGAGCTGACTAAATCAGGTTTAGCGGAAAGGATCTAGATTAGACGTTTAATTTCCAAAGTGAGGGGATGTGTCTGAGAGTCGAAAGCACCATACAATACATTGCTGCGTGTGGTACTTTCTTGTTCTCAGCCTTGAGTTTCTATGTCTGCAGAGGAAATTAAATGCCCAATTTACAGAACTGAGTTAGACTCTTCCCCACTTGCCCTTTAAATCAACACCAGCCGCGACAACACCACTGTGTGTGACTTGATGAGGGGACAGAGAGTGAAAACTTCTGGGGATGAGTGAAGGATGATAGCGGGAATAAACAAACTCAGGCACAAGCTTTTGGCTGGAGGGGGACGGGGACTTGGGCACTCTGATTTGGTGGAGATGAGGGAAGCTAAATAAAGGACATTTTATGTTCTAAATAGGTGGCATTACTTGAAGAACACATGTTTTGTTATAATTAGATCTCCTTTCTCCAGCCTGCTCTAGCTGCAGAGCTTTGTGAACTCCTGACTGGAGACTGATTGACACCCCTTCCTCAAGTTTGTGGCGGTATTTATTATTTATTCACATCTAGAGATGAAATAGTATAACTCCCTCTGCAATGCATGGGCATTGAAAATGTTAAACTTCTTGTTTGTGATGCAGAGACCTAAGGGGAAAATGGCCGGGTCATGGGCCCTGGAGAGTGTGATTAATGATCAGTGATTTAGTGATCAGTGATTAGTGGTTTTATTCAAACTGTTACCTCTGACCAGAAGCACACATCAGAGGATTAACAGGCTCTTTAGATAAATGCTCATTAGTGGAAGGGGAAAAGCACAGATAATAGGCGTGCACCCAGGGACAACTTTGGAAGAAAATCATTCCCGTCTTCAGAATAATAAGCTCTATTAACAGAAAGCCCTTTTAATTTAAAACTTGCTTTTATCTTGTAAATCAAAGTTAGATGTAAAAGTTTGTAGTGCCATTATAACCTAAATTTTCCCATATCCACTAGATGTGGATTATCCCAGTAGCGATATTTTTTTTTATTTAAATAAACAATTGGACCTTCAGAGTTGCTGAACCCTGACAAGCTTAGCTCCCAGGGTTGGAAGGTGTCCCCCCTTTAGGGATGGAGATTGCACTTTGCTAACTAGATGGCGCACTGCTATTTGGTGTTCTGTGCTGCAGAGGAGTACAGCGAGTAGAAACTGAGCATGTAGCTGCTTGTGAGGTGTTCTCCAACACAACAAAGTTCATTCTGTGCAGGATTGAAGGCTAGACAGTTCTACAAGTTTTTAGTCACATTTTCCATGTCAGTTAAATCTAGGGAGTTGAAGGCTACTGGAAAAATTAGTCTCATTACTAAAAGAAACGTAAAGCAGGAGGTGGGGGGGGGGGGGGAGGAGAAGGTACCAGAGTCTATGAGCTACCTCTGAGCTGCGGAGTGATTGAAGTAGCAGGTCTGTTCTCCTTTTAGCTAAGAGCTAGATCACAGTCTTCTGGTCTGGAATACTGAGGCAAGTACTCAAAGATTTGTTTCCTTTTTGATCTTGCTGGTCAAAAGAAGTTCCAAGAAAGAAGGGAAATTTTTTGATCTGGTGACTACAGGAGGCAACACGGCGTGGAGGTTTTACTCTGCCAGCCATGGTAAGAGCACACTCATGTCTGTGGGCAGCAAAAGCACTTCATAACAGTCGAGAACAGCCTTCTAGTTTCACAGATAGGACTTGGGAATGGCTTCTTATTTTGCATTTGTATGTGGTTTTTATTAGGATCCTGAGATTGGTAGGGTTTTGTGTAAGGGTGTGTGTATGTGTGTGTGACCTTCATTTCTGGATTAAAATATGTTCTCAAGCCTGTGAACTGCTGTAGGGAAGCTATGAAGAACAGTAAGCAAGGTGTCAGGTAAAAGAAATAAGAAATCCTCTCTTCAGAAAGCTTTCAGGAGTCACTTTAATGAGTACTTGAGTTTTAGCAAGGAGGCTTTCTTTGAAAAGAAACCTAAAGACTAAAGAGAAAACACAGCAAAGCAAAATTCACTTCCGCACTCAAACTTAGATGCAGGCTCCCCCAAAGAAGGAGGCTGTTGGTTAAATATCAGTTTGACTTTAGTTTGAAAACTCAAAGATAACTCACTGCCTTCTCGTATATTTTTTTTCTCATTTTTTGTTTCTCGCATCATTTTATATAAATTTGTTATTTTAATTCCTTATTTTTGTATCAATTTTTATTTTCAACTCTACTCAGAGTAAATATATTTATTCAATTGATAATATCTCCAAGTCAGATATTTTTTTAATGTAAATGGCTGAATTACCTGTCAGGCAGAAGTCAGTTGTGAACTTATTGGCTTTGGCTTTTTATACTGAGCAGTCAGGCAGGCAGCTTATTAGACTGATCCTGAAAAAAAAAAAGGAATCCACGCCTTTATTTCTATCATGCTTTGATGTTTCAGCTTTTGAATAGGAGGTGAAGTAAATGGTAGACTGTTAGATGTTTTTCCTGTATAGCTTTTCAGTTGCAGAATATTTTTATTATAACTTTCTGCCCGTTTCTCACACCTGCATGCTCCAAACGCTTCAGAGTTTCCCCACTGCAATCCGAACTGATGTCACAGCCCTAGTCTCCCCATTTCCTACCGTGGTTTACTTTTTAGAAATGATAAATCATCGGCGTGTTCGTCTTCAGTTGGACATTGTTTTGTTGGAGTCTGATGGTCCCTGCATCCTCCAGATGTGAACTTTATCTGTGCGGTTGCTTTGCTTCTGGTTGTGCTGTTAGACTGAACTTAGGATTTGAGTGGTCTTATTATTTTATTCATTTTTTTCTTTTCCCTTTCAAAGCAATGCTGTTAGTCACAAAATTAATGTGATCAAGGCTGGTGTTTCCCATCTATATGCTGCGTTTGCTGCTTGCAAATTGGATTTCTAAGGCAATTTAAGATCTCTTTTTTTAGAGGCTGCTTTCTTGGATGAAGCCGGACAATGATCTCAGTCAATTCATTATCTTGTCCAGTTTGACTGCCGCTGTGTTATGGGAATCAACTAAGGGTTTTATAAATTAGAGCTTAAACCTCTAAATTGAGGACTATTTTCAAATTCTGTTTAAGAAAAATGATACCGTTGAGATAAGG